AGAAGGCACCTAGGGAAGTTCTAGAACTTTTCTCAGATTTTCATGCCAATTTAGTGGGACACCCTGACTGTCAGGAGCAAGTAGCAAGGTCTATAGAAGACATCTGTATGCTTCATCTTGTAAAGTGGAACAGTATTGGTTGGCAGTTCAAGGAATAGTAAAGCAATTTGTTCTTAAAAATAAAAGCATTATTTAGTACTATATGTTTGTCAGCATAGCTATAAAGAGTGCAGACCTTTTCTGTACTCTTAACTCTTTCTGTTCCAACTGTTTCATCTGTATAATGGGGATAAGCCATCCTATGGTAGCAGGGTTGCTATTAGCCAAATTTGAACCCCTTGCTGTGATGTCTGGTACATTATCATGCAAAAATCAGGAGCCTCTGTGTGTTCTCTTCTATGTATATATATATATGGATAGTGGTGGTCTTCAAAATGGTATTCCCGGGCAACTTGGTTGGGGTCAGGGATGCGGTGGGGTTTTGGTCCCCTTTGGACCCGTCTGGCAGGAAGTGAGTTGTTTGACTTCTGCCATCGGTCGGGGAGATTTCAAAAGATCACAGATGGGAATGAATTGTATTCTGTTCTGTGCATTACAAGTTATAGACTGCAGAAGACAGGATTCAGAAATGAATTTGAGTCTTTCAAAAAATGGGGCACCTGGGTGGCTCCAGTGGGTTGAGTGTCCGGCTTCGGCTGGGGTCCCTGATCTCACGGTTTCAGGCCCCACGTCAGGCTCTGTGCTGACAGCTCAGAGGCTGGAGCCTGTTGGAATCTGTGTCCCCTCCCTCTGCCCCTCCTAACCATGCTCTGTCTCTCTCTGTCTCTCAATAATAAATACACGTTTTAAAAACGGGTAGAATAACTGGCGTGTCACTGATCCCTCTTCCCCAGCCCAGGTTAACCTCCAAGAGCAGATGTGTGAGGCTCATGCGCCAGTGCTTGTTATCGCGAGGCATTGGAGTCCATCAGAACTGGATGATTGAAAGAGAAGGCCACCATTACCAGCAGGAAGCAGTCTCAGTGGCAGCCTGTGCAGTTTGTTGGAGGGTCAGGCACCTCACCCACGTGGCAGCTACAATAGCCTGCATGATGGCAGTGATGGGCTGGATATGGCATCTCCGTGGGGGAGCTTCTGGACATGGCAGATGATGTCCCAGTATCCCAGACCCCCATCAGACTTGGACCATTCAGTGACGACTCCATAATGAGGGACTCACAAGCACTGCACAAGCACTAGGCTGGATTCTGAGATACTTCTGCTTTGGCTAATATTGATTTTTTGCATGGGATTGGTGTGCAATTAACTTGTATTTATCCTTCATATAAACTGCTATCTTTTTTTGGTGTGATTTTTTTTTATATATATATATATGACAACCGCTTTTAAAGAAGCTTATTTTGAAACTGTAGTGGTCTGTTGCTCTAATATTTCTCATCTGGACTGATTGATCTTTCTCGTACATCTCTATTTTTTTTATTTGTTAATGATTTTTTCTCCCTTCTTTACAGTGGCACAAGTAAAGTAGGGGAAAAAAAATAAACAATAATATGTTTTGCTTTTGTTTTCAGAACAAGGGGTCAGGGATTGCAAAAATAAATCTTTGCTAAATTTTGCAATAAACCAAAGATCTGACAACAGTTTATTTTTGTTCTTTA